CCAGGATAATCTCATAAAAAGGGGAATTTCTATGTGTTCAAGATGTTTTTTGTGTGGGGAAAACGCAGAAACTGTCAACCATCTGTTTCTACACTGCAAGATTACAGACCAATTATGGAAGATCTTTATTAGTCTTAGGGGTATCTCATGGTCAATGCCATTCAGGATTAAAGATGTCATCTATAGCTGGGAAGAAGCTGGAGCTGAAGCAACTAGTAGAGATAGATGGAGGACTGTTCCGGCATGTATTTGGTGGACAGTCTGGAGAGAAAGGAATACTAGATGTTTTGAAGATAGAAGCAACTCAATGCAGAAGATCAAACTCAATTGTATTCTTCTATTTTGTTTTTGGTGCAAACAGATGTACACAGAAGATACATTGACAATCATAGACATTCTAGGATCCTGCTAGGTCTCAAATTAGAATATCTATAAATTCTCTCTATGTAAATTTGGTTTTCAGTGCAACCTATGTACTGATTGTTATAATATATACAATAGTTACCAATTCAAAAAAAAAAAAGGTCAAAGAATAATAATGTATCCTGGAGTGGAGAGAAGAAGACCATTTATCTTTTTAAACTTTACTCTATCCAAAAAAAAAGACCATTTATCCTTACTTCCCTAACTTGCTTGGCATCAAGGCATAGTAGTTGTTGTAGTGGATAGTTACTTGCTAAAAACTATTTTTCCAAAAATGACATATGGCATTTGAGTTTTGATATTCAATTAAACAAATAAAATAATGGGGCAAACTAGGATAAGTGCAGTGGTACAATAACTAATGGATCACACCTAACATCTGGCTGGACCATGGTTTCTTGGCCTGCTAAATCTATTAATGCAGATTCTGCTGCAGGTTTTGACACCAAAGCGAGTGCTTATGTCATTTAGATAAGTATAGGTTCGCGGCTAGCCTTTTTTGTTCATTATGTTTGGTGCTAGCGTGATGTCACTTCTCTATATCTCATTTCGTTGCTGTTAAATGTCTCATTTTTGAATTCTTTATTGTTTCCTTGTTAGCACATTCTTGGGCATGCATTTTAATATCTTGGAAACTTTGGAGCACTGACACTGTTAGGTAAAGCTAGGAGAAAAACATGGAAGCACTCCACGAAATTCAGTGACAGCCTATCATAAAAAATAAAATATTGATTTTTGTGGGATTACACTGGGTTGTCATTGTTGTACTATCACTAATATTATTAATCAAGTAGTTTCTCTCAGTTAATGCATCCAGCTTTTAGATCTTTCTCTGGTTTGGACCATACTAGGTCTTTATCATCCTAGTTCATTGACGACTGAATAAATTATGTACAGACCTGCTTTTTGATGGTATTCGGGCATTCACAAAGGGATCACCAAATATGAACTCTCTTGTTGGCTTTGGATCGATTGCTGCTTTTGCAATTAGTTCTGTAAGAATCAATTAAAGCTGGGCATTTTATCTTGTTAGGAGCTCTTAATTTACGATTTCAATGCCTGTCTTCATAGTTTTTTGCGAAACTCATTACTTTCTTGAGTTAAGACTGGTGTGCTGACAAGTTCTTCTCTTTCTTAGGTCTCACTACTTAACCCTGCCCTTCAATGGGAAGCAACATTCTTTGATGAGCCGGTTTGTCTTTTCTCACTATCCTTTGTATTTCTCTGAAAGCTTAGATTTTTTTTTCCTTCCATTTTTTCTTTCTGTGTAGTTTTCATTTGCTTGCTCATATGTACTCCTGCTTTCTGCTGTTTAAGACGGTCAGCAGATTGTAATCTTTAACAGCAAGTTTCTCTGTCTTTATTATTTGTTTCTGAATTCTAAATTTGGCTTTTAGCTGAAAGGGTCTTCATTCCACAAAGTTCAAAATAATAGGTTGTTGCTTTGGTGCCACAGATTATTGAGCCTTATTGGGCTCAGGGGTCTTTTCTAGCATTTCAGAACCTCAAATTTCAACATAATGCCATCTGAAGTCCTAACAAAATTTGGATAATGTCATCAGGACTTCACATGGTCTTCTATTCCGAATCTTTAATCGTATTTGTCTTGACTGACCTGATGTTATTTTGAAATGTATAGCTAATCGGTGAGTCAATTTTCCTCCTGCAATGGCTTAATGGTGAAATTCCATAAACCTATTATAATTCTCCGTATAGCATTCATTAACTTTCATTATGTAGTTTTCATTTGTAGCTATTTTCCAATTCATTAAGAAATTGTCTCTGCTCTGTGATACTTTCTATACGTGCTTCTATGATGGTCTCTATTGAGCAAAATCTGTTCAGTATTATTAAACTGTTTGACTTTTTTTAGCAATGAATTCACTCATTGAGAAATGTTGATTTTAGTATGCAGGTCATGCTTCTTGGGTTTGTACTACTCGGGCGTTCTTTGGAGGAAAGGGCAAGGCTGAAAGCATCTAGTGACATGAATGAGCTATTAGTAAGTTGTTTCCGTGTTATGTGATTTAATAGAGTTATTTTTCATTTGTCGGGGGCTCAAGAAGTGGACAAGAAAATCGCAAGCAAAATATGGGCTATAAGACTGTTCAGTATTTGATGCTCTCCAAAAGTTGAAAAATCTATTAACTACTGGAGTCTAGATGTTTTACATGTTGAAGTTTTCTGATACAGTAGCGTCAATGAATTTGTTGTAACCATTCGTGAGACTTCTAAGCTAAACCACCTATTTAATCTTGTTATTCAACAATACATTATCCCTGATAACATGAAATCTAAGTATTAAATGTTTTGTTTTTCGATTAGTCCTCAAGACTTTGAATTATGTGCATATACTAGTTAATACATTTGAGATAAGAAATGAAACATGCCCGTTATCAATTTTTCTCTTATTTTATTGATGCATTTAAGAGTTCCTTTTTCCAGAAAGCTGCTATTAGTTACTAGCAGTGCTACTTTTGGAGCATGTATATTACGGAAGATCTAGTTATAAGTGTTAGATAGTTATGTGTAAATAGTCCTGGTCCTATACGTAGTAGGAGTAGAATGTCCTAGTCCCATATGTAGTAGGAGTATAATATGTCTTAGTCCCATATGTATTAGGAATAAAATATGTATTATATATAAGGCTCATTGTATTATTGTTAAAAAAATAGATTTTTATCCCGTGCATTCTCACACAGGGTATCAGAGCTTCAGCGAGAACATTATCGTTGTGCGTCATTCCAGCGACATCGGGGAAGAAAGATCTCACCGCTGTGCAATTTTCCGGCAACTTCGTCTTGTTCCCAGGGTTCGTTACTGCTACAGTAGTACTGTGCATATACCAGTACCACCATCAGATCCGAAACCCTTGTGCGACCAAACCCTAGAAATTCCAACAAAAAAGTTAGTCACCGTGCGTTTTTTCGGTTGATGACTCAAAATTGATTTGCGTTATCTCCTCATCGGTAAGTATTGTGCGAAAACCAACACTACCATCTTGTTCGAAAAAGTCAGGCAACAAAATCCCAATCAATCACTCCGGCAAAAAGTCACGCGCCTCCATGCGCCGCCAGAACTAGGGTTCCGACGAGCTATAGTAACTTTTCCGGCTCGTGTGAGCCGTTCCGGTTACTTTTCGACAAAACATTTTCAGGATAACTTATCCGTCTAGTGATTTCGAGCCTACCCATATAAATTACATCAAATTTTGATAACTTTTATTTTTTTCCGGCGTGAACAATGCACTTTTCCAGCATGAAAAATGATATTTCAGGGGAGACTAGTGGCCTTATATGTCGAATGATCAACTTGCAGATATTTTCACCAAGTTCCTTACTGGTCCTCGTATTAGTTACATATGTAACAAGCTCGGTACATATGATTTGTATGCACCGGCTTGAGGGGGAGTGTTAGATAGTTATGTGTAAATAGTCCTAGTCCTATATATAGTAGGAGTAGAATATGTCCTAGTCCCATATGTAGTAGGAGTAAAATATGTCCTAGTCCCATATGTATTAGTAATAGAATATGTATTATATATAAGGCTCATTGTATTATTGTTAAAAAAATAGATTTTTCTTCCGTGCATTCTCACAATAAGAGTTGCATAAAAGCTCTGATCTGTTATTTCTGGTGGCAGCGAGATTATTAGTTCTGAACTGCAATCTTGCTGCCTTTGTTTTCTGTTCATTCATTTATCAAGACACATCTATGGAGGAATTGCCATATGTTTAGTGGTGTGAAAATAATGCTACCTAATAGCTGCACTTAGCAAAGAATAATATTAGGTTACTTTCTGGCTACTTTTTTCTTACTTCGTTGAACACATCAAATAAAGGATACACATGGCTACTTTCTATTTTTTATCTAATGAACTAAAAATTCATTTACACTATTAAGACAAGATCCCCCAGAGCTTGGAATTGAAGTACATTTTACTCCTTTGTCTTACAAAATATTGTTGTGGTTCTCTTGGCAGTCGCTTATATCCACTCAGTCTAGACTTGTGGTTACTTCTTCCGGCAGTGGTTCCTCAGCTGATGTTGTCGGCTCTGATGCAATATGTATTGAAGTTCCAACTGATGATATTCGAGTTGGTGATTCTTTGCTCGTTTTGCCTGGAGAAACTATACCTGTAGATGTAAGTCAAATTTTTGCATGAGTACTTTCTTTTATTTAGCTCTAGGACGAAGGTCTGAAGAGCTTCAGTAAAGCAGAATAGAATCCATGTGCTAATTTCCTCAGATTTCATTGCTCCAAGCATTTAGGATGCTAATGCTAACCTATCAGCTTCTAAAAGCACAATATGGAACCATTAGACAAGGAAAAAATTATTACCTTAGTCTATGTTGTGGGGACTCTCCAAAATGCTATCACACCCGTGTCGGATCCTCCAAAAATGCACTACCTTTGGAAGATCTGAGACGCACCCGGCGATATTTTTGGAGAGTCTGAGCAACATATACCTCAGTACATCTTAATGGTGGTTTCTAGTACATTTTTTCTTTTGCACTTTCAGCAGATTTATGGCAATTTTAGATGCTGATCTCAAGAAACAAATGGAATATTTCTTTGTTTTTCCTAGGATTGAATAGGTAATTTTGGACAAATGAGAATTTTGTCCTGTTTGAACTAGTAACAATTAGTTAATACTAGTTTAAAACATTTATGGTACCTTTTTCAGTCTTCAAAAGGAAGAAACTGATCCTCTTTTGCTTGAAATGTTGAAAATACAAATATCTGTCCGAGGATGTAGTGTTCTGTTTAAAATACTTGTTTCTCCTGTTATTTGGTAAAATGCAACATCTTAAATTCTCAAAAAAATAAATCAAATTGCCTCTGCAGGGAAGAGTCGTTGCAGGTCGAAGTGTTGTGGATGAATCTATGCTTACTGGAGAGTCTCTTCCAGTGTTTAAAGAGAAGGGCTTTTCTGTCTCAGCTGGTACAATAAACTGGGTATGGTGATGTCAAGATTCAATAATCCATTAAATATGATAATCCCAAACTACTAGGGTTAAGCTATATGAATTCTCTACATCCATTATGCTCTCTTCAGACATGGTGCAAAGATATTACGTGTAAAGATATACTAAATGGTTTTTGCAGCTTTTCTGGAGTGAACTACATTTCTGTCCCTTTGTGTCACCTATAAAGAAATGAGGTTTGAATGGCCTTTTAGAACTAATATTCATTCTTATTGTTAAAAAATAAATACAGGACGGGCTATATATTAATTATATCCATTCTAATCCTGGTGAAACATTAGTAATCAGTTGCATCCTCTGGAAGCTACATATAATGGAATTTACTTTATCTGATCAAAAAAATCCTGGTGAGACATTACTTTATCGAAAAAAATAATCCTGGTGAGATATTAGGTTCAAATGTTGACATGATCCTTGTTAAGGTTGCATGAACAATAGCACATTAGATTTGTGCCCCACATACCGATAACTTTAGTTGGTAAATACCTTATGATAGTAGAACTGGAATATTTGTAAGCAACAATGGTTGGAATTACATTTATTTTTGTACTTTTATATTCAAGTCTTTGTTCTTATGTTTCAGGACAGTCCTTTAAGGATTGAGGCCTCTTCCACTGGTTCCAACTCAACAATTTCCAAGATTGTTAACATGGTCAGCACACTGTTTCTTAGTGATGTTTTCTCTTCCAAGTAATAGATTGCTGCCTGGAACATTTTCTAGCACTTAGATATAGTGCCTTGAGGAGGGAAAACAGATATCTTAGAATGTTTCTTTATTGGGCTATTAAAACTACTGTTTTCTTCTTGATGTAATGCATAGAACTTGAGAGTGCAAACTTGATCACAATATCTGGAAATTTATTAGAAATGATGTATAAGCTAAATTCCAGTGGGTTTTCATTGAGTTTAGTGGTGGAAAACCTGTAGACTGTGAACTTCCTTGTTTGGTCAAGTAAATATTATCCTTTGACCACTTGAATCTCACTGGAAATCTTTGAAAATTGAAATCCTGGCGGAAAAGTTTTGTTCAAAAGAATGGTCATTGAAAGAAGTCGCGACTTCACTAGAACAATCACCAAAAAGTGATCCTTGTCAAAATGGTTACCAAAAAGGTGCGGTACCACTGGAACAGTGACCAGAAAAAGAAAAAGAGTGCCGTTAGAATGGTCATTGAAAGTAGTGTTGTCTCTAGAGATCACTGGAAAGTGGCAGTGTAACAGTCCCCAGAAAGAGGCGCAGGCTGCCATAATGAACAACTCAAATTAGCACGGTGCTCAAGTACAGTTACCAAAAATAAGATTGGTATCACTAGAACACTCACCTTGAAAATGGAAGACTAATAATTCGAAGAAGATTGAAAACTTGGGCTAGACAAACAGCATAAGGCAGTGCTGGTAGGCAGAAGTTGTGTGATCTCCACCCAGATCATAGAGGTCTTGAACCATGTGAGAAAATAATATAGAGAATAAATATATTTATAACCTGATGAGATGGAATAGACGACACCTATTTGTAGTTGTGGTACAATTCAAATTTTATATTTAATTGATAAGGGACCGACATAGTAATGGCACTTGACACTATTATATTCTAATAAAGTATCTCTTCTATTATCCTCCAAAGGTGCCAAAGTGGAATAATTTTTAACATGGGGAATATGGTCTATTACTTTTGACTCTCTCTTAGCAATTAAAGAGGACTTTGGGACTTCTAATGGAGATTATGATAACTGTTTGTGGAGTTATCTGACTCCCTTTTTGATATTTGACATGTATTTTTCGTTGTTTGCAGCCTTTATTTCCTGAGAAAATATTATTTTCTCTATTTAGAAATTTCTACTTCTGAATAACTCTTTCTAATATGAGGGGGTGGACAAAAGTGTATTTGTACCCTTTTTTCACACAATGTGGCTACTGATCTTAAACTAGAATCAGCAGATATGTGTAGGGACACCGCCCTCTAATATTAATTTGTGAAAGTTTAGGAACTTATGAACTTCTACATAAATTTTCTAATCTTCCAGGTTGAGGATGCTCAAGGCCGTGAAGCACCAATTCAGCGACTAGCAGATACAATTGCTGGGCCATTTGTTTACAGTGTGATGACATTATCAGCTGCAACATTTGGGTTCTGGTAACACTATTGTTCTTTCCTTATGTATCACAAATATATTTAAGAAACAATTGACTGCTCCTTAGGTTATTAGGTATAGGTAGACAAAGGATAGGCACACATGAACAAACTGGAAGAAGAGTTCTTACTGGGAGATCTGAACAACTACTTTTTAGCCTCTAAAATGAACGGAATAATGGTTTAGCAGTGGATTCTCATCGATATGATGTTAATGGAGTGTGGTGACTCATCGGTCAAAGTTTGCATGTTAATTTATGTGCCTAGATCTATTTCTTGAAGCCATATTTTCCTCCTCGCCATTCACAAGCTGCTATATTGTAAATCTATGTTCATCCATTCCTATGAGTTATAATTGCGTATAATTGCATGCATTTTCTATTACAAGGTGCACTTGGAGCACTGTCAAAAGTAATATAGCCTTATCATGTCACTTGGCATCGCATACGACACTGATTCACTTCAATCCACCTCCCAGAATTGAGTCAAATCTGGATCAAGTTCAATCAGGTTATTTCCAGACACCTAGTTCACTCGACTATTCTGAAGAGGTCACTACTTCCATAATATTCAGATTATAACATTATAATCATTAATATAGTTGTCTTTTTTCCTTAGCACAGTTATTTTCTGGGATATCCAATTTTGTATTTGAAGACAAGGGAGGGAGAGTCTAGCAGTAAGGGCCTCCACCTCAACGATGAGGTTGGGGGGTCGACTCACTGGGGGAGCAAAGTAGGAAAATCACTGTTGTGCTCCTAGGTAGGATGGGTTTGAGGATGGTACTTACAATATCTGAAAAAAGAAAAACATCTGTGTTTGAAATAGTACACTAGTGAGTAAACTGCTACTTGCTTTGGGCAATGGAGTTGTTGATCTTCCTTTATTTTCTGCAAGTAACATATTATTTCCTTGAGACTGAGTGTTACAGAATTTACAGGGATTTCCTTGGAAATCCAGCACTCATGTTCCCTCAAAAGCTGTTTGAGAAAACCCAAGGCTCAAGTGAATTCTTAATTACAATGAAGTATTGGCAGAGTTCTACAGCTTGAAGCTCTAGATAAGTACAATGTTCATGGATTTGGCATTCAACGGTCTGATTCCTGTTTTCCAAAATACATTCATTCTGTCCTTCTGGTAAATAGGCGGTGTCTAGAGCAATCTTCATCAACCATTTCCTCCAGGTCTTTTCATATGCAACAAGATCCACAGAATCTCAAGACCTTTAGGGCATCATCTGATTAGGAGCAACTCTAAGCAGCAGCCATTACGAGCATTGGTATAAGCACTCAAAATATAGATGATCGATGATTCTGCAGCAATTTGGCTGCTGCAGCAATGAATCCTTGATACTCTTATTCGGTTACTTTAAGTCTCTCTAACAATGATAGCTTGGTCTGTTACTGCATATATTTCATGTTAATGAGTAATCGTATTTACTGCTAATTAGCTTGGTCTGTTACTTATAATTTTCTGTTGTTTTGTATTTACTGCTCATTATATAGGTATTATGTTGGATCACACATCTTCCCAGATGTTTTACTGAATGATATTGCCGGACCAGAAGGAGATCCTTTGCTTCTGAGCCTGAAACTTGCTGTAGATGTATTGGTGCGTCATGGTGAACTGATGATCCATCTTTTATATCGATGCCTTCCTATCTAATCTGAATTACCTTTCCATTTTCCTGCCATCTTTTGCCTAGAAAAACATTTAGTTATTCTCTATTCTGTCAGATCTTGTTAGAGGCTGCTAGTTTATCAGAACTTATAAATGTCAAACTATAACTTTTGGGGTTAGGGAAAGCCACTAAAGTTGAGTGCGACATACCTCTGAGTTGTTACATTTTAACTTGTCCAAATCTTTGTGCTTTGTCTGCTGTCTACTCTGTGCTTCTCCATTTGCTCTTATGATATTACTGGTAACGGAAGGTTTAGCCTATTATTTTAGGGAGAAGGAACTTGTAGGAGTAGTTCACTTTTAGCGGAAGCTATGGGATGATCCAAGTAGAAATCAAGTTGTAAAGTTTAAAACAGAGGACATCTGTAGTATATTGGATTACGGCAGAAAGGCAGTTTTTTCACGTTGTTGCTTCATGGTGAACTGATGTATTGGTGCGTCATTGTGAACTGATGATCCATCTTTTATATCGATGCCTTCCTATCTAATCTGAATTACCTCTCCATTTTCCTGCCATCTTTTGCCTAGAAAAACATTTAGTTATTCTCTATTCTGTCAGATCTTGTTAGAGGCTGCTAGTTTATCAGAACTTATAAATGTCAAACTATAACTTTTGGGGTTAGGGAAAGCCACTAAAGTTGAGTGTGACATACCTCTGAGTTGTTACATTTTAACTTGTCCAAATCTTTGTGCTTTGTCTGCTGTCTACTCTGTGCTTCTCCATTTGCTCTTATGATATTACTGGTAATGGAAGGTTTGGCCTATTGTTTTAGGGAGAAGGAACTTGTAGGAGTAGTTCACTTTTAGCGGAAGCTATGGGATGATCCAAGTAGAAATCAAGTTGTAAAGTTTAAAACAGAGGACATCTGTAGTATATTGGATTACGGCAGAAAGGCAGTTTTTTCACGTTGTTGCTTCATTAATACCCTGGTATCATACTATCATTATTGGTAAAAGCACAACATAGCTTGGCTGCACGCAGAAGTTTGTGCTATTTGTGTATTGAGTAAATAATCTGTAGTGATTGTGATACCACTCGTCCAAGCTTACAGTGGTCAGCTAGTCCGTTCCTAATTCTTATGCCCTGGCTTGTTCTGGGACTTGAAAATTCGAGCATATGTTCCTCCACTTATAGATGTCCTAAAATGGCATGTTGGTTATTTTGGATTGACAATATTGTCTTCTTTTTGACAGGTAGTCTCCTGCCCTTGCGCTTTAGGCCTTGCAACACCAACTGCAATTCTAGTTGGCACCTCACTAGGTACATAATCAGATTTAAATGCTTTTGCTGTAATTCTCGGTATTTCCTCCATTCTCCCTCATACGCAGCAATTCAAGACATACCTGTTACGTTCCTTATCCTCTTTTGGAGATTGCCCTTTCCTCACGACACCACTCTTCTTTTGATGCATCTTTTGCTTTATAAACTAAAATGCTAGACTGAGATATAGATGTACCAATCAACAAGAAGAAAAGTGGGGTCTTCGGTATCAGAGATACCAATACTACTAGCAATTCTATAAACTTTTCTGGCTGTCATCCGCTCATCCTAGACATATATTTAACAGTTGAAAACGAGAATATTTTTAGAATAATTTGGAAGCTAGGAGTCTACCTTGAGTATGTTATGCTAGCAGGATTATTGATGCTTAGGATCATCTTTGAAATAGTACATCTTTTGAACACTGAGCAAATTTGGGTCTAAAGAGCAGGTTAGTTAAGTCAAATTACTGACTGCAGAATTACAGTTCCCCAATGAGGAGAGAGCGTAACTAGTGTATCCCTTAATAGCTGCATTTCGCTGTTGCAAAGGTTGTGGTGTTGGGTCAGTGCTCTGAAAGGTGCACCCAAGGCTCTCTGTAAACGCAAACAGCCGTAGTGGTGCATTCCCAGCCTCACCCAACACGCACTAATGCTTTGTGCCTTAGTTTATCCCTGAAATATCATCAATTATGCCTCAAAATCAATTCCATGTTGACTTTCAGAGATGAAGAGGAGCAATTGACATTTGTAATTAGAAATTTTAATGTTGTTGCATGTGAGGAATCCTACAACATGCAAGGGCTGTTACTTTTCATGATACTATTGTTATTATGTGATGAAATCCCCTTCAGAAGTGTCAAATCCTATATTGCTTTATGGGAATGGGTTGTGGTCTCCTTATATAGTCTTAGGCAATCCTCCCTTCATGAGCTAGCTTTTGGGGTTGAGATAAGCCCAAGGTCCATTTCTTCACATGGTATTAGAGCCAGGCCCATCGGCCTCTATTGTGTCATGTTTTTCAATGTTAGGCCCCCGTGTTATGTTTTATACGCTCCAGTTGTCTAGTCTTGGCGTCTGGGCATGTGGAGTGTCAAGTCCTAAAATTAGTTGAAGGAATGGGTTGTGGTCTCCTTATATGTTGTTGGTCAATCCTACCCTCATGAGCTGGCTTTTAGGATTCATTAGATTCAAAGTTCATTTCTTCAAAAAATGCAACTAAAAGAGAAGAGAATGTCAAACCTTCACCTTCCAAGATCGGTTAGGACTTGAATACTTCAAATTTAAGATGCCAAGAGACTCACCATGTGGTACGCAAATGCATTATGAGTACTGGGTGGTTGTGTAGAGATTAGAGAGTTTGCTGGATAACATGGAGATATTTGTAGAGCCTCCATGGCCCAAGTTTTTATGAGACCTCTGTGACACTTCTCATTTGGGGCATTAGGTTTATCTAGTATGGTTATTTATGGCTTCTTGCATAACTTTTACACCTTTTACTGCTTAGTCAGTAAAAAAGAGGAAGGACCAAAGATAAAATAATACAAGATGAAGAAGAAGATAAAAGGATTAGTGGCAAGACTCATTAGATTTAGTTTTTAATGTAATGGCAAGTTCGGTCGCTCATTTGGCAAGAGCACTCCACTTCCAATCAAGACATTGGAAGTTCAAATTACCAAGAGAGCTAAGTGAAAAAGGGCCATTGTTGACTCACGGGCAAGAGGCTTGGGGAAGTACATTAAAAACAGTAATATCGTGGGGCTTATGTTTAAGGTCCTTGGCATGAGTAAAGTTGGCCAGAGTTGAGGAGTCTCCTTCAGAGAGGACATTATCCTCTTGTTCAAAACATTCATGCAGACATTCAGCTTACATGTGCGATTCATCAAACGGTAGTCTGCTTTGGGTTCGGAAAGACTGGCACAACCAACATTCAGAAAACCACTTCTTGGATTATATACTCGCCTTTTTTGTTTTCCCCTAGTTTAATGGGCATTTTTTTTGTCATTATGTAACCTAATAGATTGTCAAATTACTGAACTAGTATTTTTCTGTTGAAACCAAACAGGAGCAAGACAAGGGCTTCTTATTAGAGGAGGAGATGTACTGGAGCGCTTGGCAAGCGTGGATCATGTCATGCTGGACAAGGTGCTCAATAGTTCTTCAATTGAGTAATTTGTTGCAATTTTTACTTCCACAGCTAAAATCAAAAGATCTGTAGTAATTTATTTGTAATAAAAACATGATCTCTGCCTGTAATTCTCAGACAGGAACTCTGACTGAAGGAAAACCTGCTGTCTCTGCTGTAGCGTCCTTGGTTCATGAGGAATTAGAGATTCTTCAAATAGCTGCTGCAGTGGAGAAAACAGCATCTCACCCCATTGCTCATGCTATTATAACCAAAGCAGAATCGTTGGATTTGAGTATCCCTGTCACACGTGGACAATTAGCTGAACCTGGCTCTGGAACCATGGCAGAAGTAAATGGGCTCTTGGTTGCAATTGGAAAGCTGAAATGGGTTCAAGAACGTTTCCAGCAAAAAGCAGACCTTTCTGATTTGAGGAGTCTTGAGCAATCTGTGATGCATAAATCATTAGAGGACAGGCAATCATCTAACCATTCAACCACAGTTGTATACGTTGGTCGGGAGGGAGAGGGTGTGATTGGGGCTATTGCGATCTCTGATAAATTACGCGAGGATGCTGAGTCTACCATAAGAAGGTACTCTCTGACGAAGATGATTTCAAATGTAAATGTTAGATGCATCTTAAAAACTACAATCATCATTAGTCCCCCATGACCCCACACTATTTTCTCCTTGCTAAATGTTTTACCATTGCTTCTTTAATGTGTGGTAGGTCATTAGCTTCGTCTTAATTCTATTCTTTTGAAGAAGTTACCGTAAAGTGGGAATTTGAGTTTATCATCCAGTTTTCACTTTTCAGCCTTTTGAAGAAGTTATATGTACCTTTAGATTGACTCGCCTCTCGCAGTTCTACAGACTCTAGACTTCTATGTACATTTTTTTATATTGAAACTCAGATCATAAAGATTTTATAGATGTTTCCATGAGATTGCATTTTCGATGGATTCAGTATGTAGAGCGTCACACCAAACCTGTTCCACCACCCTCCAATTGCGCATCCCTTATTCTTTTCTTCTAACTTTCTCTAGTAAAACATCGTAACTTTATTCTTCTTTAGTTTTCTCATATCTTTCTCATTTTTTCAAATTCTTACCAATTGAAGGCTTCAGGACAAGGGAATTGAAACAGAACTGTTATCGGGAGACAGGGAAGAGGCAGTTGCAACTGTAGCAAAGACGGTTGGCATAAAAGACAAATTTGTCAATGCATCTTTGACACCCCAGCAGAAATCTGCTGCCATCTCAGTTCTTCAAGCTTCAGGCCACTGTGTTGCCATGGTAAATGAAAATCTGGTGAAACCTGATATTTCTACTTGTTCCTCAAACATATATAAGTTATTTTGTCCATGATAGCATGTGCAATTGGCTGCTACCTTTCTCCCAAAAAAGCTCTGCTTATAATATACAAAAATTGACTTCTATATTTTTTTTTTTTTGATGAAGTAATAATAGATTTCATTGCTGGTATCAAGAAGATGCATAATAATACAAAAGTTATGGAAGCAAAAAAGACACTGTTAGCTCAATTATAAAAAGACTATTCTAGTACCAGGGAGCTAACGAAGTTCAAAAAGTTGTCAGGAGAATCTAAGGGGGAAAGGTAATGCCAACTATAAAGATACAAACACAGACTCTTTTAAGGAAACTACTTCATGGCACACATCATCCAGTAATTGGGCTGTCCTATTTGCCCCTCTAGCAAGTGTTGTCATAGTTCTTTTCTTTCTTTGGGGCTCTTCATTTCTCTATTCATCTCTCAATGAGTATTCGTTTTTTAACTGTATGAGCATATGATTTGCTAAATCTCAGATACTATGCACAGCTATCTAACTGGAAATTCTTGCATACTGAAGGTTGGTGATGGCATTAATGATGCACCTTCTCTTGCTCTTGCTGATGTGGGGATTGCTTTGCGAGTTGAAGCACAGGAAACTGCTGCTTCAAATGCAGCATCTATTATACTCCTCGGAAATAGACTTTCACAGGTACATGTTCCATGTCATCATATTCATACAAAAAAAGTTTGTTTGATGTCATCACAGTGAGGCTTTTTTTTTTTTAAAATTAAATGTTTAATCATCTCTTCACATATTAGTGTTGACCGTATAAATTGTGTAACTGTTACCAAGTCAGTTTTTATTTAATAAGTTTGTAAGGTGTAGTATGTCATATAAGAAGATACAACTATTTAATCACTATCCTCTTATATCTTGTTTCTGGTTTTCTTTTCACTGAATAGTCATGAGAATATGGATTCAGAATTTCCCTTATCAAGGGAAAAATAGATGGGTTCAAAACTTTTTGTTTGTAAAAGTGCTGTGTATCATAGCACAAAGAATAACATACAGAACGCTTATTTCACACTATAGTTCTGAGAATTAAGGTCAAGAAGCTATGGTTAGGTTCAGGGGAGTGAAAGCAGACTGTACCTACGTACTCTTTTCTCAAATAGAGTGAAAGCAGACTGTATCTCCCACTATGTGCATATCAGCATTTTCTATGTGATGAAAAATAACAATGTGCCTTCCTGCTAACAGAAATGCAAATTCAATCTGGATATCTTATAATTGGCTAATGCTTCCTTACTTTTTGGCAGGTGGCGGAAGCTCTTGATCTTGCACGGGCAACTATGGCAAAAGTTCATCAAAATTTGTCTTGGGCGGTTGCATATAATGTTGTCGCAATACCCATTGCAGCTGGGGTGCTACTTCCAAATTTTGATTTTGCAATGACACCATCTCTTTCAGGTAAATAGCATCCATATTGCTTGTTCAGCCTTCTTGGTCCAAAGGATTCAAAATGCCCTGTTACCTATCAATTATTTTCTGTCTTGGTGACAAATTCTCTGGAGATTATAGCCAATATATATACTTTTCGTGAAAGATAATTAACAACTGTTACCTTTTTTCTGACAGGAGGATTAATGGCTTTGAGCTCAATATTTGTCGTCTCCAACTCACTGCTTCTACAATTCCACGGTTCTCAAAGGAAAAGAAAAGAGAACCTTACCTATAAACGCGCTCAAACAGAGCTATAACTCTTGCAAATTATAGAGCTGGCATGTAAGAATCTGAATCTGTGTAATCTTTTGTGCTACTCATTCTTCGACTTTGCTGTTATGTCAGCTTCATGGGGGAGAAATCTGGGAGGAGCTAGTGTCATAATATACTAGTATAGAGCATTGTCAAACTAGCTTCTATTTGAAAACCGGGACAATAGACAATGGTGTATTAACACGAAATAAACAAGTAAATAGTTATTATTTGAATTATGAGTTCAAATCCAAAAAAGAAAAGAAAAAAAAAAACAGGCACGGGCACAAAAGATCAACAACGATAATGGTCCTTACTGATTTTACATTAAATCGTACTAATTACTTTTACTTCTGTTGCAAACACCTCGAGCAAACTAAGTGGTACTTGGAAGAAAGATAGGACTGTGAGGCCGAAGTTATGGGCCTCAACCTACTGCCTTGGTAGCGGCCCATGCTATATATTGGGGATGAAATAGGGAGAAATTCAAAAATAGTCAGATTTACAAGTGGTCATTCAAAAGTAGTCACAGTTTCAGAAGTAATCGAAATTTAACCACTTTTCATGTAAAGATAAATCTGAACAAAAACACTGTTCAAAATCCAAAAAATGCTCCGGCATAATATACTGGAGTTCCAATATAAGTATTTCCAACATATTATAATGGAGTTTCAGTATAAGTGTACTGGAACTCTAGCATTATATACTGGTCCAGTATAATATACCGGTTCAGTATAATATGCTGAAAGTTCATACATAGGTGCTCCAATCTCCAGTATATTATGCTGGAACTTTTCGCGTGTTGGAGTTCTATCATTATATGTTGGAAGTTCATACACAGGTCTACCGATCTCCAGTATATTATGCTGGACCGGTCCCTGTTGCAGCAAAATAATGGCTATTTTTCAATGATTTTGCAAACGCTGACTATTTTTAAATGACCAGTCCAAAAACTGGCTAGCCCGTGCTATTTTAACGATGAAATAGTTGATCCTGCAATACAACAACAACAACCCAGTAGAATTCCACTAGTAGAGTCTAGGGAAGGTAGGATGTATGCAGACCTTACACTTACCCGAAGAGATAGAGAGGTTGTTTGCGGGAGACAAAATGATCCTGCAATATCTCTATAAAAATAAAGATCTTTTACTATTTAGGAGATTTGACACAAAACTAAACAAATATTAATGAGCTATAAAACCATTGACTACGATTAATGCTACTAATACTAGTACTAAGGCATCTCCACGCTTATCGAGTTTTGTTTTCCGCGTCAATTGGATTAGCTTTCCGTTGAAATTGGATGTGGATAAATTGTGATTTAAGCAGAATTTTTCACTATTGGGAATTGGAATATTTACCTCCTATGGCAAAGATTAATACCTTATTTATTTTAAATAAATACCATTTAAAAAAATTATATTCTATAGATATCTTTTAATGTTTATAGCAAAATATTTAATTTTGGTTAACTCCTACTCCTAAGTCACTAAATACACTATTCAGTTACAATATTTTCTTTCTCTCTCTACTTTGATACAACTTTTACCTCAAATTTTTCATAAAGAGCTCTACAATTGCAGAATATCCTTACGTCTCCAATAAGAGCAGCAGTAGCGCCAAGCAAGAGAAATAGCTCTCCATATGAAATTCCCATCATCTCTTTTTTCACTTTGTTTCTGTCGTATGTATGAAGAGCAACGCGATAGGAGATCGTAAATAAATGCCCGGCCTTATCGGAAATTTGGTCGGAGAATTTGTCAGGGAGTACCCCGTTGGTCCATGTTAGAAGGGAAACGAGCCATGGCTTCCTGTTGTTGTTGCTGCTTCTGACGTTATTGTTGCATCTGCTGCAATAGGAGTAGCTGGAAATTAGGGTTTGTTCTTGAACAAAGACGAGGGATTTTGGGGCTGAACAACTTGATTTTCTATTAATATATTTCAATGTTTTTTCAACGTATCACGCTGTATTTTTATGTATTTCATTGTATTCGTTGTCTTTTTTTTTTCCATTGTAATTCAATGTATCTTGTTGTATTCCATGTATTTTATTGTATTCACTGTTTTTTTTCTCATTGTATTTCAATTTTTTCGCTGTATTCTATGTATTTCATTGTATTCACTGCCTCGCTATATGCCATGAATGTATTCATATATTTTTTTTAATTAATATAATTTATGTATTCAGATGTATTATATAATTTCTCTGAAGATTGCTATGTTTTTGGGGTATTTTTCGGTTGAGATTTTTTTTTATAACTGAAAATACAAAATTTGTGTGTTGTTATTGAGTTTGTTGAGTTATATTAGGAGTCTATTATGTTAATTGATTCAATTTCCATTTTAAAAACAGTGTAATCCCCTATTTCACGCCATGAATACAGTCGAATACAATAATCTGTCCAGCTGTAATCCCATGTTTCACTCTATGAATACAGTCGAATACAGTTGAATACAATAACTGATTAGCTGGACTTCCCTGATTCACGCCTATTTTTGCTACTGTATTCATGAATACAATAATTTAAATACATCAAATATATCTTATAACCACAGAAAAGGTATTTATAATCCGTAATATAACAAATGGTATCTATAAATGACTAATTACTACTAAAAGATAGTGATTTATGAAAATTTTTCTTAGGAATTCCATGATAACTACCCTTTCTGTTTTAGTTCATGTGAACATTCTCTAGGTCAAACTGGTTAATTTTTTGTGTGAAGTCGGCGATAAAGTTTTCATAAAATTTACATATTTAGTGATTAAATAAAAAGTAAATTACAATAGTTAATAATTTAATATAATTACAAAAAATTGTAAACATATGATGAAAGGAAATCCTGTTTGACTTATCAAATAGTAATAGTTTCACATTACGCTATCCAACCATGTAAAGACGACTCAGTGTTTTGGTTTACAAAAAGCAGCACTCTCAGGATTCGAGTTGCAGAACTTGGCCCTGTATCATGTAATTGTAAATTACAATTATATCGTTTCCTCTTGAAATAATTTTGTTTTTACAAAAATTAGAAGAAGAGAAAAAAGAGCGCCAACTAATTGTTCTTTGGAACAAAATTCGTAAAAAGAGAACAACGTTCTGATAACGTCACAATACGATAATTCAATTGCTGAATCTATTATTTTTTTTATACGTTTATTTTTATGATTAATTAGCTAAAAAATATATTTAAGAGATCCTTGTTGCTGTACTTACCTTTTCTTTTAAAAAAATACGAAATTCTATTACATTGGAGGAAGAGGGGCAGTCCGATTCCAATCCACATCTATTATAGGAGACGCTTGCTAGTATCACTAGATTTTAAATTTTTGTAGACTTACTGTTTGTCTTTCATATTTTATATGAAACTTTAGAGAGTTACATAGTTTTTCTTCCCTGAAAAACAGGGGGAATGTTAGGGATATAGTAGATATGCCCTAGATCCAATATCATATTTGATGATTTGAACATATTTTTGTGAACGTTATTTGATATAAAATATATATGACATTTGATATTCTTTTATCATATTTATTATTAATTGTTTGATTAATTTGATAAGGTCCTTAATTAAATTTTGAGACTTGTCATCGTGATAGAGATCATGATAATGAGAGCAAAGTCTCTTACAATTTAATCTAAATTTATTCTTGATCGTAGGATTATTAATTTGGACATTAGTAATCCGGTTAGATCAATATTTATGTAATCGTCTTTATGGGATAAAGATTAGTTGATCTCATGAACTAAATTACATAGATAGATGATGCATATAGAGATATGATCATTGAATCGACTCATTGGATAATTCCTAATGGTTAGAATTACCATAAACTGTCAATAGGATATTCTCTTGAAGAATGTGATGTAAGAATTTCCTTTGACCTGGGATTGTCATAGTAATTGACAAGTTATTTGTTGTGCTTTAATACTAGACACCTATGGCCCTAGGGCGATAGTTGAAAGGATATTGAGTACGATTGAATACTTGTAGAATTAATGATTGATCAAGATGGAATCTGTCAACTCTTGGTAATGAGTTTAAGCTTCATGTTGTCATGAATTATAAACGACCAAATTAAGAACTTGGCCAGGGCAATTGAATGAAAGAAGAAAAGAGTTTCTTAGGTCATTCAATGTTCGATTATATTTGACATGAACACATAGTTGGTCGCCTATTAAGATTTGACAGTTGAACCATATCCTAGGGTGATCCAGAGCTATAATGACTGAAGGAATTACTACATTATTCTTCTACGGGTTCTTGAGAATAAATTGTATACTTCATGCTATCCGGTCGTTAAGGAGTGTTGCTAGACGCCACCCTTGATTAGTATATTGATATGATCAATTTACTACCGGTTTAGTATTGAACCTATGGGGTCGCACACTAACGAGTGTTCTGATCTTTGCTAAAGGATTAATTAACTTATTATTTGATAATTGAATTAAAGAATTTAATTAGTCAAATAAATTTAGTTATTAGTCCAAATGAAATATTATTATATTCTTTGCTAGTACAGAGGATATAATTAATATTGTGAACAAATTGAAGTTTTCTATTTGGAATAGAAAATTAAATTATATCTCTTGGTTGAAATATATGCATATATATAATTAACATGGATTAAATATTAAGTTGCATATATAATATTAATTAGTTCTATAATCTAATTTAGAATTGGATTAGAAAGTGACGTGTGACTTTCATGAAACCCATTTGAAATGGGATTAAGTTTTCCTACAGGAAAATACTAATCCAATTATGAATTGGATTAGCAATTGAAAGTTCATAAGGACTAACCACGCCTACCGTCAATCCTTTTGATTGGAATTGAAATTTTCCTACGGAAATTTATGGTAAAGTTTATTATTGGAATAAACTTTTACCCAATAAATAATTACCTCAATCAAATAGGAATAGAGTTTATAGGTGATGCTATATAAAGGTTGATGGAGAAAAAAATTTGCTATTATTAATTTCTTGAGAAGAAAAACACTTTGTGAAAGTGATAGTGCAATACAAAGCCAAAAGAGAAAATACAATTACAAGAAAATTGTTTCTTGTTCTTTTATCTTTGAGTTGAGATTTTGAGAAAAATTTCAACACAATATTCTTCGTTCAATTTGTTCGCGGGTTTTATTGATCAAAGAGTTGATAGCAAGGATCGGTCTTGGTGTGGATACGCATAGAGTCTTCGCACTATCAAAGAAATTAAAATTCTGAAACGAGG